TATTATTATTTGTAGTAGCAGCAGTTGTAGAAGAAGTAGTGCTACAATAATGGTTATTTAAATAATGCTGTTGAACCAAAATTCAACAACAATTTCTGATTTTCATGAGTTCACTTTCTTTTAATGTTTTTTTTTTTTTTTTTTTTGCTTCTCATTCTTTAGTTCTTTCACAAAAGGTACCAACAATATTGACCATGTACATTTCGCGTTGTGCAATTTGGGATAGAAATGGAGCAGGACGATACAGGTCACGATATCGTCTTCCGGCGTCGCGCTGTCGCCATCTGTTGGTCAATAGGAGAAATGCTGTCGGTGACAACTTCATGGAATCGAAAACGAAACCCGTATTTCGATTTGTGTCTCGTGTTAAACCGTATTCTTTTTTTCGTTGAAAAAATTAAAATCTTGCTGTTTAAATATTCAAACACAAGTCAAATAACGACATGTTTTTGTACTTTTAATATCTCTTTTCAAACGGAATATCCAGCTACCAAAAGAGCAACGGACAACACTGTGGTCAAACTGCAAATGCAGAAATGTTTTATAAAGCATATGCGTGCATCAAAATATGCAACATAAACATGTTACAATTACATTATTGCACAATAAATGAGAATTGTGCATAATGTAAAAACAAAGAATACAGTAAAGAATAAAAATGATGTGAGTAAAGAATAAAAGTGTGCCCTCGTCGTTTTTTGCCCTCTTGAGTTCATGTTCTCTCTCAGAAGAGGTTTTTGCCTGGCGGTTTGTAAAGAACTGATCCAAGGACTTTTGCTTTTGTCGGGTTTCAACAATCCTTTGCAAATGTCCAAGGCAAACATCAGCAGAGTGATCGCCCGACTGGTGAACTGTTAGTTTGATTGTTTTTAGTTATCATCCATTTGCATATTATTAATGATAAATTGGTTATGCTTGCAATGAAGAACGCTTCTGCTTTTAATCGAAATATAATGCTTTTAATGAAGATATGCTCACATCTATAAGATAAGAATCCTTAGTGCACTGGGTGGCAGTTGAGGGACGCAACCACCTTTCCGAGAAAGTGGTTGGAAAGAGATAAGTATTAAGACTAAACAGGAGCAAGGTCGGACATGGAACTGTCAACCCCAGCTGCAACTTTTTGTTTGTATTTGTAATGACTGCACACATGTACATAATTTTCACTCACATACACACCCATAGTCAAACAAGTTCAGTGTGTCTTCAACAGCCCTCAACCTTTAGGTTGGACACACCCACGTAGTAGATTCTCAATAAATGAGAGGGGGAGCGGGGAGATCCTTGGGTGACGTGCAGATAACTGAAACCAACGCTTCTTCTCATTCCCCCCTGGTACCAGAATTGAGCCTCCTGTCTCCTCCTTGTGTTTTATGTCTGAATGTCAAATTGATGGACCTGACATATTGATGGACCTGACATGAACAGTTTTTCTGGGTGATTCACATTTACGTAAAACCGTCGAAAGACCTCATGGCCCAAGGGGCAAATGACAAGGATGCTGCATAGACACGTATCTATTTATCGATCTACACACACAGACACACACGGCAGAGGTCCTTTTTAGCCAGTAGGATGCCAGAATGATCCTCGGTAATAGCCAATGGCAGAGCAGCTCTCAGAGTTGCGAACAGCGGCCAATACTGTATTTTTACCTTATCGTATCTTGAAATTTCTTTCGCAACAAGAGGCAATATTTTTCTGTTCAGACGTTTCGTAACTTGAAAACTTCATCCGAATAGACGTTCGTAAGGAGAGTTACCAGTGTAAAAGTAAAAGGCAGCCCTGGCCGTGGCTTCACGTGATCAGGGAGGAGCTTCAGTTACACGATGAGATTGTGAGTTCAGAGCTTCCAGTTTAGAAGGAGAAGCAGAGTTGACAAACATTTCTTCAGTATGTTGCTTTCAGCTTGGTTGCTGCTCATCATCACGGTGGCAGGTGAGTGCTGCCTGGCGAGACGAAGAGTCACTCAACATGTCACTGAATGCTGAACTGCTTTTGTCTCATCCTTCAGGCACCAGCAGCAAGCTGGTGGCAGTCACAACTGAAATGCTGGCATCAAAAGGCAGTCGGGTGACACTGTCATACGTTTATGCCAAAAAGTCAATGTGTAGTCATTATATATTCTGGTACAAACAACTTCCTTGACAAGCGCCACACTTCCTGCTTTCCCACTTCGGAAAAGGCAAACCATTAAACGGCAGCACTAGAATGTCGGTCAGCATGACAAGTGATAGGGAGCGAGTGCACCTGCACATCGAGGATGTGTCGCTTAAGCACTCTGCAGTTTACGACTGTGCTGTGACACCCACAGTAGCATACACTCCACATTCTCGTTACAAGAATATTTCCTGCTCCTGAACTCATCACACTCGCCTCTTATTGAGGAACGTCTTAACTAGATTTCCAAACCCCAATTCTGAAGTTTGGATGTCGTGCTGCAAAATGTAAATAAAAGTGAAATACTTTTTTTTGTCCACCCTAGTGGGCTGTCGTCTGAGGAGTCCACATTTCAAATAGTTTTTGGTCATCATGGTTTTTGAAGGGCACTGTTGTTTGACGCAGTGTCATGGGGCTTCCTGTGTACCAGAAGAAGCCTCCTCAACGGCTTATCAGCCAATATTTATTCGCAAGAAGAAGGAGAAGCAGATGGGGCCAAGACAAATTTCAGGCAACACGGCACAGTACGGTGCTGTGACTCGGGAGGATATGTCTTCAAATGTGCATGTTGATTTCATTGCAACAGGAAATGAAGGCCGTGACCACTCAACCACAAGTCAGCATTCATGTGAACCGCCAATGCTGCACCATAAAGCTCATGCCGGCACATCCTCTGGCGCACCTGCAAAAAAACACCTGCAGCTGCCTCGTGTCGTAGGCCAAATGGAGGGGGTGGGGGTGTGGCCTAACGGGAGGAGATAAGCCACTGTGACAACACACTGCTGCTGCTGTGCAGGGGACGTTCTTGTCTCATGGGCTCATTTCAACTTCATCTCATACTCACTGATCTTATGTTTTGTTGTGATGTTATGCAAGCACAAGGAGGTCAATGTGTGATGTGACTCTGAGAGCTGCAGTGATTTTGTTTATATACTGGCATGCACAACAATGAAAATGTTTTCTGGCTTTCTCCTCATCACTGGCGCAAGAGGATCCAAGTTGTCCCATTACATTCCTGACATCCACGACAAAGCTCAGGCATGTAAAAGGTCCGCATAAATATAGATCAGGAGACCAACAAGGGCCAGCGCTGCTGACTGCGACTGCACATCCCCACTCCGTGCACGAATATGAACACAGCTTTGATGACCTCACTGTTAAAATGCAATGAAGACCCAACGACGACCATCCAATTATCGCCCTGAAATCAGACCTGTTTAAAAGTTATGGAAAGCGATGCTCCTGTTTCTACCTGACCTGCATTTCGTACACACAACAAACATCCTGTCCCAGCAAGCTTTTGAGACAGAAACCATCACCGCTGTCATCTGTGGTGCAGGTGCCATGGCGACCGCTTCCTGTGGAAAGAGCAGCAGAGACGCAAATGATATCACGCACACCAACGCTCACATAGAAATAGCTCAAGTCACTTTTAACTCATGCTCACAAAATAAATACCGATAGGCTTGCTAAATGATGTGGGATTTTTTTTTTAATGTGTGGGTTGACTCTCCTTCATCCAGGTCATGGCAAAAGTTGAATTGAGGGAACTGAATTCTTCTCTATTGTTGATTTTCTTCTTTTTTTTTCAAAATGGCTTTCTACTATTTGAACAATTTGTAATCATGCTGATTTGATGTCTTCTTTGGATTTTAGTTTCTCTGCATGTAGAATCTTGGTGGCCTCTTTTGAATCAGCCAAAAAACAAGGAAGCAACAGCCTTTTAAAAACTGTTCTTTTATTGAATTTTGGTTGATATAAGGACGCATTTTATAGCCCACTGACATGCAAACAGTGACAAGTTCTAACACAAGCACAGCAGAAAGAGGTAGCGGTGGCACCGCGCTGGCTACTCTGGTGCGCCGAACCACAGGCCCAGTGTCAAGACACAGCTGATGGCGAGCGTCTTGGCGAAGATGAGGCGCAGGGTTAGGACAGCGAGGGACAGGAGGTTAACCTTCTCATCTGCCGGCGACATGCACATTTAACTCAGCCCAACAGACTGTGCCTGTCGCACGTTTGATACTAACCTGGCACCAACGTGTCCTGGCACTGCCCTGGTACTCTGTAACCTGTGGCGGCAAAGCAAGAAGCAGACCTGAGGCAGGGACTCCATGAAGATGACTGGTGGCCTCGCCCCACAATCCTCACCTTCCTCGCACGTGTCGTTATGTGCGGTTGTGAGCAGTGCCACCCGGTTGTATAACGAGTCATCTGATATTCGCACAGGACGAGACTCCTCGAACATGTGTCCTTTTCCCGGCTTCTCAGTGGCATTGTGTCGGGTGGAAGCGGGCGGGGGC